AGTGCATTTCATGTCCGCGAAGTCATGATATTTTCGGTTCTGTTAATCTTTTTCGCTACTAATTTATTTGTTATATTTGGGATGCGCTCTTGCTAATAATTAATTTGTCCAGTATTTTTGACGTGATTGTCGGTATTTTCTTCTATTTTTTGTTAAATATACAATATTCTGTGCTTTTTGATTTTTGCCAAAAAAGGTTTTGTTCCTCACGGTTCATTAACCGTTGGCGTTAACTTCCAATTCCTTCACTATCTGTCTCATATCTTGCTCACTTTTGGAGGTCCTTGCTTTCATATGCCTATTTTAGCATTTAATTAAGTTAGGAAGTTAGAATTTCGGGAATTCCTTCCACAGTTGTGCCTTGGACGACAAATCGGGGAACTGGTTTTTTTATGCGTTTTTTGCAGCTACGCAATGCAGAAAACACATATTGGACGAGAGGTTGTGTGTGTGTCTGTGTGTTCGTCTGTACCGATTTTTCATCTCGAGACCGGCAAAAGCTATAGGGCTGAAACTTTGGGGACATAATCTACACGCACGTACGGGCCCCCATCCCCAAAATGGGCAGTCCTACCCGCGTGAGGGCCCACCAAAGTTTTTTTAGGGTAAGTTGATAACTCGCGAACCAGGAAAGCTAGAAAGCTGAAATTTTAAGGGAACGTTCCCCATCTAAGTATATACTAATGAGCTCAAACCCAACCCCCGGGTAAGCGTGGTACCCGCGTATGGGCCCGCCAAAATTTTTCCCACGTAAATTCATTACTCGTGGATCTGAGATGCTAGAAGACTGTAACATTAAGGCCCAGCCGACGGCTATGCTTGGTACCTACACATGTGTTCACCAAAGTTTTTCGCTGGTAAGCTCATAACTGGAGAACCTGTAAAGCTAAAAGGCTGCAGTTTTAGGGGGATGTTCCCTGTCCAACTAAGTCTCAACGAGCTCAAACCCAGACATCCGGTATACGTGGTACCCGAGTACGGGCTCGTGAACAATTTTTTCCAGTAAATTGCTAACTCAGGAGCCAAGAAAGCTAGTGAGCTAAAATTTTAAGGGGGTGTTCCCTGCCAGTTTTGGCGGCCAGTCTTAATTTGTTATGCGTTTTTTGCAGTAATGCAATGCAAAAAACGCATATTGACGAGAGGTTGTCTGTGT